TTCCCACTGTCCCCTTCCCGTACCATCCCTTGGACCTGATATACACTAACAGAGCTCTGAATGCCTGTTCTGCATAAACCAGGAGCTGAGGGAAGAAGACTTAGCAATGGCATCCCATCCAAGGGCCAGCTCCTGGAGTCTCCTGTCCAGCGTGACCTCTCCTCAAGCTGAGATCGTATTTTTGGGAGAGGTGATGTGCTCCAGTTTCCCTTACCATATCCTGCAAGAAAGAGAGAGGGGAAGAGAGATGGACACACACACACACACACACACACACACACACACACACAGAGAGAGAGAGAGAGAGAGAGAGAGAGAGAGAGAGAGAGAGAGAGAGAGATTAAGCAAATTTCTCCTTGTGATTTTCCATCCTGCTCGTTTTTAGGTGTTGCCATATGAAATCTCTGAACTGGGGCTTCTCATCAGTCTTCCCAGGCCCAAGGACACAGCCCTGGCTATAAATGATGCCAGTTTTGGTGGGGGAGCTGCTGCTGCTGCTTTATCTGGGCCCAATAACCCTTATCAAACTGCTGTGCAGCCAGCCTTCAGCGCTAAGTGGAAATGCTCAGAGCCCAAGCTGGCACCCAGCCCACAGCCTCGCCTGCCTTCTCCCTTGTTGTTACCTTCTCCACCTCTTAAATTCAGGCATTAGTCTCTCTTTAACACTTACTAACAAGGACTGGGCTTTTTAATGGGCAGAGTTTATGAAGCAAGGGAGATTTTCACATAGAGTGAACATGGCACGGGGTGGGCTGGGGTGGGGGAGACCAGGGCAATGGAGGGGCTGTTTTTCCTCTCCCATTGTTTCCAGAGACTCCCTCTTTCTCTGCTTTGAGGATTAATAGGAGATTAGGATCACGGGTTAATTGTGTGCCTCTCTTACCACTATGCTGAGGACAGCCAGGTAGTGGATGAGACAGCTAGGCAGCAGCCTTCAGCAAGGAGAGGCTCAACAAGTTCAATGACTTTCCTGGTTTCACGGTGGCTGGCCAACCCTTGCGCTCCTTACAGATCAGCTCTTCCTTAACTTTCTTTAAATCCTTTCCCTATTACAATGAATAAACCTGAGCTAAAAAGAAAAAAGAAAACTAAGTCTAAGGAGGGACTACTTCTTATTAGTCACCAAATGTGTGCTGGGGAACTACACTCCCATATCCCGTGTTCGAAACTGCATTCTGCTATTAGAGGATCCCGCTCGATCTCCGCCTGGCATCTCTACCCTGAGTCCTGCTGGTCTGAGCACTCTGCTTGTGGGAGGGAGACCCTTGCTGGGATGGAATGGCCTGTCCTTGGGTCTACCCTGTCTATTAGCAGCTCTTGGGGGCCTGGATCGGTTCCCACGTGTAAACTCTGCCACCTGACCTTCCAGAATTTTGCCTGCATTGGGCCTCTGCCCCCTGCAGCTCTTGGGGCTTAACTTTCAGTCTGAGGCAAGAGGCATGCCTCCAGGTGGGGTTCGGTGTGCCAAACCGTTGACTCACACTGGCCAGTGTTCTAAATAAGCCCCAAACTGCTAACCGGCTTGACCTCAGGGATGGCTACTCTGAGACCCCTGGATGGCGCTGTCCGCCACATCCCCACCCTGTCGCTCCGCTCCGGGACTTGAATCAGAGGCCACGGCCAGTGCTCAGACTACCGGCCGTGCTTCCCACCTCGGGGGCCCCTACCTGCGCCTAGCTCCAGAGAAAGGGGGAGGAGGATGCCTTCCAGCGTCGAGGAAGGCCACGTCTTCTCTAGTGGATCTACCCTGGGCTTAGAGATCTCGTCTCCATCCTCTACAGGGGCGGCCGGCTGAGAGCAGGACGCACTTTTGAGCAACCCAGAGCTTTTCCACGCTTCCACGCGACCCCCGAGCATTGCTCCAAGCAGGGCGCGACTTCTCCGCGACTGCTACTACTCGCGTGCTGGGGGTGGGGGGTGGAGACCGCAAGGGAGGAAAGTTTCTCTCACGCCCCGACCCCGTTCTCTAGCTATCGCGACAGCTAAAATAGGGTGACTGTGCTCCACTAGGGTCTCCGAGGACCCTCTGGCATCTGGTTCCTTGAAGTCCGCGAATGTTGCGCCTGTAAATCAGGAAGCTCCTGCCAGAGGGCAGGCAGTACCCGGCGAGCCCAAGAGGCCTGGGCTGGGAAAGGGACCCTTTAACGTCAATGTGCAGGGTACTCTGGATGCAGACCCGAGGAGTTCCCAGGAAAGCGAAAGACAAGGTGACACTCACTGAACTGGGCATACACTGAGACCAGGAGCAAAACTCCGCGCTTGAGCACCTGGGGGGCTTCACCAAAGCCGTGGGAATTAAAAACTTGAGCAAAGCGGGAGCAGCTCGCGCCCCCGGTGCCCCCGTCGCAGGCGCCGAGTCCCCGCTCTGCTCTCCACCAGCCCCTTCCGTCCTCTCCACTTGGCCGGGCAGCGGCGGCCGCTGGAGCCAGCAGCAGCTAGATGTCAGGCGAAGCCCGGAGCGCCGAGCGCGGCAGGGAGGGGCCGAGGGTGGGGGAGCCGGGGAGCGCGCAGGGCTCGGCCAGCGCGGGGGGTGGGGGCGGGCTGAGCCGGGGACACGCGGGAGGGGGAGGAGGGGGGCAGCTGTGGGCAGGGAGCCGGGCTCGGCCGCCAGCACTAAAGATGGAGAGGCGCCGGGGCCTCGCAGGGGAGGGGGCTCGGCGTTGACGTGGGACGCGGCGGAGGCGCCGCCGCCGGTGGTGATTTGCTAACCTCGCAGCAGAGAGGAGTTGAGGGCCATGAGAGCGGGTACTGCGAACTGCCGGGCGATGCCGCCGCTACCGCCTTGATAGGAGAGCAACAGTTCCCCAGCAACACCCCTCCCCGACTCGGGCACACCCCCCCAGCAGGCACGCAAACCCACCCTGCAGCGCCCAGCTCGGCCGCGGTGAGTAGGGGCCCGGGGAGAGGCGCACCGACCAGCGAGCGCCTCGCGCCGGGGCGCCCAGGGGCTGGAGAGGTCTGGGGGGCGCGCTCGCTGCGGCCACTCGCCGCCGGGCTGGTGCGTGTTTCCTTCCTGCCGTTGTGGCCGCCGCCGCCACCGCCGCCCGCTGGGGTCAGCCTAGGAGGGAGCCCGGCTGTCAGCTTGGGCTCAGCTGCCTACCGAACCTTCCTCTCCGGGGCGCAGTCCGGGTGAGAGATGAGGGGCAGCGCGGTCTGCCGGGGCCCAGGGCGCGAGCCGAGGGTCGGGGTGGGGAGGCTTTGTACAGCCAAAGGCCAGCGGAGCGGCCGAGAACCGGTGGGTGCTCATATGTATGCGGACCGGTGCGCGCGCGTGAGATAGGATTGTGGTTTATTATTTGTGTGTTTATTCGCTGACCGGCTTGGGAAGCTCGAATGCGAGTGGCCCTGGGGGCGGAGGGGAGCAGAACTGGAACTCGCTTGGGTTTTGTTTCTCTTGGAAGAAACGCGGTGGGCGCTTTTTCTGGATTGGACTCGGTTTTCCTTTGGGAGGTGGTAGGAAATATCCAGAGTCTCCAGCCGCGGCTGCGCTCCGGGCCGCGCGCGGTGGGTGCCCCGGCTCTGCACCTGATGCGTTCGGGATGCCTTTCCTACCCCGGCGCGCCGGCGGCTCGCTCGCGCGGCGCTTGGCACACTCCCGCACGCGCTTGAAATACGCACGATCGTGTTTGCCCGCGGACCCGCTGAGCTACAGTCGCACTCGTGCCGACTCGCATGCAGCCTTGCTGGGACGCTCGCAGCATGCAAGGGACCGGCGCGCAGGCAACTGGCGCTGCGGGCCAGAGGCCAGAGACCTAGCCGGTCACTTCCTAGGGGACAAGTCCCGGGTGGGAAAGGGAGGGTCTCCAGACTCTCCTACTGCCACTGATTGCAGGGCTTTTGTGCTTTTCCTTCTCCGAGGGCCGGGTCCACCGCTTCGCCGCCCTCGCGGCAGCGTCCAGCCTCTTGCCTTTTGCCCGGTCTCTTTCGCTTTTGCTCTTTCCTAGCTTAGCTCCCTTCCTTTCAGGTGTCTGACTCCCTGGGAAAGTTGCTTCCCCAAGTTTGCCGAAGTCGTCTCCAAGTCTCGGTGGGGGTCTCTTGGAACTAAGGGTGTTTGAGCGCGCGATCGATCCCGGAGCTCTGGCGGGTTAGCGCCGGCTTCCCCAGCGCCGCGGGGCAGAACGCTGCAACCAGCGCCCGCCGGATCTCGGGCAACGGCTGCGCGTGGCGGGGACTGCTGCTAGGACGCCCGGAGGCCACTCAGGACCCAAAAGCTTGTTTTGCGCCAGGGATTTGGAAAGCCAGCCTCCCTTTCTTTTGGCTTGCCCTTCTTAGTTCTCTGAAACTGGCGTCTGCAGGCAAGCTCATGGTGGTGAGGAGCAGGAGGAACGGTCAGCCCACCGTGGACGGCATTGGTCTCCAGGGTGGGCAGCAAAAGGGTCTGCACCAGCCATCCTGTTAACCCTTTCTGCGTGCGCTTTGTGGCTCGGGAGCCAGTAGGGCTCCTTTTGAGGTGGAGGCACATAGTGTGAAGCCTGAGGAAGAGCCCTTACCTCATCCACCTAGGCCATTGACCGAGGTAGTGGCCACTGTGAGGCAGAAGCTGGGAGGGACCTGTGGCCATGTGGTCTTTCTGTCAGCTCCGAAGAGGATACACAGCCCCAGAGACCCCTTAATGCTTCAGAGCAGACGCCAGGAGAGGCCTTTGTCTCCTAGCCCTGTCTTCCTCTCGTACTGGTCCTAGTTCACGCCATGGATGTTGGTGCCAGTATCACTTCCAGGGCCGGGGAGCTATAACCAGCCTCACCAATTGTTGCTTCTGGTCATAGGACTTGGCAACTCCTGTGAGCCTGTGGGACATGCTGGAGTTCACAACCAGGCTGGCATATGTGTGCCTGGCTGTAGCAGAATTCATTTCCTGTGATCTCTCTCTGCCTCTGCCACCTAGCCTCTTTCCCATTTTAGGCTCTTCTGTCCACTGGGCTCTTGTGGGCAGGAGGGGTAAGTGCAGCACGTCTTACGAGTGTATGTACAGGTGTGTTCACGTACTCTTAGCTGGTGCAAACTCAACAGTTCAGATTTTGCGTTATGTGTACAATAACTTCAAGTCTGTCATGGGTTATGTGTATGTGTTCCTGTTTCTTCTAAAGAGGGGAGCAGGGCGTGGGTCTATGACTCTGATTAGAGCAGATGAATGGAGGCGCAGCGCGGTGCTCTAAAACTTGCTCCTAAGTTTCTGTGGCTATGACTATAGGCTGCTGGGGAGAAGGATGGGACTTGGCTCCTGGGCCTGCCAACAGGGAAGCAGAGGCAGAAATACTTGGCTTTGAAGATGAGGTTGGCTCTTTAAGTTGAGGGAAGGAAGTAAGTGGTTGGGGCACCTCTTCATGATGCATTTCGGTTTTGCAAAAAGAGAGTCCCTATTCTCAGACTTAAAGAATGCTTAGGGCTCACTAATTTTCACTTCATTTATTCCAGCAGATGCCAGAGAGCAGCAAATGAAGCGTATGTTGATAGCAGGACCTTCCCTTCCTCTTTCCTCCCTTGGTTCCTAAAGGTAGAGTTGTAGATTTCTAGGAAATCCCTCCTGTTACAGTTTTTAAGACCTCCTTTCTGGGAGCGTGGTAGAACAGGAACATGCAATAGTATTGGGATTCTTTTAAAAACACTAATGAATCTGTCATTTGTTTTCTCATCTTTTGTGATTTTTCTCCTTTTCTTTTTCTCCAGTCCCCTCCATTGGCCCAGGAAGCCCACCCTGCCCTACGACGCAGAGCACAGAAAGAAAAGGAGCCCCATGCCTGAGCCGAAGGGAGCACCATGGATCTGACAAAGATGGGCCTGATTCAGCTGCAGAACCCCAGCCATCCTACAGGGCTGCTGTGCAAGGCCAACCAGATGCGACTGGCTGGGACTTTATGTGACGTGGTCATCATGGTGGACAGCCAGGAATTTCATGCCCACCGGACAGTGCTGGCCTGCACCAGCAAGATGTTTGAGATCCTTTTTCACCGGAACAGCCAGCACTATACCCTGGACTTCCTCTCGCCAAAGACCTTCCAGCAGATTCTGGAGTATGCATACACGGCCACGCTGCAGGCCAAGGCGGAGGACCTGGACGACCTGCTATATGCAGCCGAGATCCTGGAGATCGAGTACCTGGAGGAGCAGTGCCTGAAGATCCTGGAAACCATCCAGGCCTCAGATGACAATGACACAGAGGCCACCATGGCTGACGGCGGGGCCGAGGAAGAGGAGGACCGCAAGGCTCGGTACCTCAAGAACATCTTCCTCTCGAAGCATTCCAGCGAGGAGAGTGGGTATGCCAGTGTGGCTGGACAGAGCCTCCCTGGGCCCATGGTGGACCAGAGCCCTTCAGTTTCCACCTCATTTGGTCTCTCAGCAATGAGTCCCACCAAAGCTGCAGTGGACAGCTTGATGACCATAGGACAGTCTCTGCTGCAGGGAACTCTGCAGCCTCCTGCAGGGCCTGAAGAGGCAACGTCAGCGGGGGGTGGGCGGCACCCCGGGGTGGTTGAGGTAAAGACAGAGATGATGCAGGTGGATGAGGCACCTGGCCAGGACAGCCCTGGGGTAGCTGAGTCCAGCATCTCAGGAGGAATGGGGGACAAGGTGGAGGAAAGGGGAAAAGAGGGGCCTGGGACACCGACCCGCAGCAGTGTCATCACCAGCGCTAGGGAGCTGCACTACGGGCGAGAGGAGAGTGCTGAACAGCTGCCGCCGCTAGCTGAGGCTGGCCAGGGTCCCCCTGGACGGCCAGAGCCCCCAGTGCCCCCAGCGGAGAAACATCTGGGCATCTACTCTGTGTTGCCCAACCACAAGGCTGATGCCGTGTTGAGCATGCCATCTTCGGTGGCCTCGGGCTTGCATGTGCAGCCTGCCCTGGCTGTCTCCATGGACTTCAGCACCTATGGGGGCCTGCTGCCCCAGGGCTTCATCCAGAGGGAGCTGTTCAGCAAGCTGGGCGAGCTGGCCGTGGGCATGAAGTCAGAGAGCCGGCCCCTTGGGGAGCAGTGCAGCGTGTGCGGGGTGGAGCTTCCTGACAACGAGGCTGTGGAGCAGCACAGGTAGGTGCCACCCCAGGCCTGCACCTGTGCTCGGCTTCTGGCCCTGACACCCTTCTTCACCCTTCCTGGCTGCTCCCCGATCTGATGACCTGGTTTCCTTGTATTTCTTGAAAACAAACAAAAACAAAAACAAAAACTTCTTCCGATGTCCTGGTAGTGTGTGTGTGTGTGTGTGTGTGTGTGTGTGTGTTACATTTTTCAAAGAGTGATGTGAGAACGCGGGTATCTTCAAAGCATGGACCCCAGGTATTTATTGACCAGACCCTTCCCTGTCTTTTGGGCTCTCCTTTGTTTTTTCCTGCTGTTTGGTCCATGCTTCTTTGCTTGGATTGACTGATACAGTGTAGTGCAGGGGAAAGGAAGTGAGATTCAGGCTGAGGGTGGTCTGGAACCGGCCATGCTCCCAGGCTTCAGGTTCCTATGAAGCAGCTGTGACTAAGGCTAGGGCATGGCACAGGCTGGATCTGTGCAGGCCACAGGAACACTGCAGGCCCCAATGTCAAACCTTCAGCCTGAGTCTCCTCTTACTCCCTGTTTCTGCAGACATGTTTAGGAGCAGTTGATCTGATCTCAATCCAAGGAGGAAGGATGGGCAGAAGTCTTGGTCTTATAGGCTGAAAATCTGACTTTTATCCCATTTCTGCTTATGCTGAATTAAATGCCACTTCAGGCTGGCGCTGGCTTCCCTGTGGCTTCCCTTTCCCTCTCTGGGAGATAACCTTTCTTTGAGCTCTGATGACATGCTTAGTTCAGTACCAAGTGCTTTACCTAGAGTTGCATTTCTGTGAAGTCGGATGTGTTCTTTGACGTAGGCAGACGCTAATACTCAGACAGTGTCTGTTTTCAGGGTCGTGTAGGTAGTGAGAGGCAGTGTTACGTTCAGGTTCCGACTCAGCGTTCTAGAACTTTGTGGCTCTTGTAGCCATCCACTGTGGACCAGGATCCTGTCTACATTACAGGAGGAGTTGATGAAGGCGCGTAAGAAGCAGAGTCCAGCAGTGGATTTGTTTTTCTCCTGCTTCATCGAACTCTATGGGACCATTGTTACTTTGCCCTCTTGGCCCTGGGCCTGATGAATGGTCTCCAAGACCCAGTCACTGGCAATCACATTTCCCGTCATACCTTTGGGCTTGCTGTTTCGCTCATCCTGAAAAAGTTCTCCAGGTTGGCACCCGCTGTTTCTCACCCCCATTCCTGTGTAGTTCACTTAGGTATGGGGGACGTGAGTGGGTGGGGTGGGGTGGGTGAAGATATCTGGAAATTTATCTAACACCCCCCCCCCATACTCTTGATGGGCAGTTAGTTGTGAGACTTACCTTGTGGAAAATGCCTCTGAGCTAAAAGTAGCCGATTCTTTTTTCCGGTGGGTGAAAAAAATAACCAGCACTGAGGTGTGTCTGCTCGATGCTTGTACCTCTCAGAAACAGACAGATTGTTTTTGATGTTTTTCTCAAACTTTCCTAAAGAGGAAAACCCCTCCTCAGACTTGCCCGGATAGATTTAGCAGCTTCTCCGGATATGAATTACTTCAGCTGCGTGCTGTGAGACATGGAGGCCAGTGGAAAGTAATTCTTCTCCTATCTTTAGGTCCAGGATGGTTTTCTTTACCAGAGAGGGCCAGAAAAGATACCACTGTCCTGGGAGTGCCCAGTTCCCATTGGGTGGGACCCTCATCCCCCTGGAGAAGCAGAGGGTTGACCATATTTTATTCCAGAAATGGTGGGTGGGTTAATTAGCCACATCTAGTGGTGAGAGTTTGTGATAGTTGTTTCAGCTTTCTGACTTTTCTTTCCTCATGCTTTAAAATGGATATGATCCGCAGAGGTGATGCTGAATTAATGAAGCAAAACCAAGGTATTGCTAGAGCCGCCACTGACACTCATCACCCATGGGTGGGGACTGACCTTTCTGTCTTCTGTTTAGCTTTGGCCCTTCTTTGCGTCATCCTCGCAGGTTCTGAGTTCTAGTGTGAAGTGTTCACAGTGCTGCCTTCTGCCGGGGCTGTGTCCCCGGTGAAGTGGTGCAAGGATGTCCCTGTCCTTGTAAGCTTGTAATGGTGAGGCACTGGTCCAGGAATCCTCAGCGTCATGCTGCAGGCTGCTGACAAGGAGAATGTGCTTTCGACTGAATGTGGAAGAGACAGCTGAGGCAGCCTGAGAAGCTAGATCTGGGGGCAAAGTCTTAGGGGTTGAGGTGTGGGGGTCTGAGAAAATCGGTGGTAGGCCAGCCTTCCCATGTGTGCTTACAGGAAGTCAGAGCCAGAGGCAGAGGCCTCCCAACAGTGGCCCCTGGGCTCCAGGATGGATGTATTTAGGGAGAGGCATTTCCTCTCTCTCGTCCTCAAAGCTCCAGGATTAATGGACTATCTTTCATTTCCTACTATTCTGTGTCTTTCCCACCCTTCAGCCTATCAACAGTCTGAGAAATGTTCTAGTGGAAGAAAAATCTTCACCACTGTCAGTACAAACCAAAGCGCAAGACGCAAAAATCAGTGAGAGATTTTTGATGCCAAAAAGCTGTGGAATTGGCTGCAGATATCACAAAGATGACCATGATAAAATGAGGGGTTTATCATATTTTCTTATATCTAGGCTTCTTATATTTTAAGCCAATAGGTTAGTGCGTTGGTAAACACAAAGTAGCAGGAAGCTCTTCTCCTTTAGAGGGGAAGAAAAGACAAGAGTTCTGGGAAGAGTTTGTTCTGGAATCCTACCCGTGAGTTTCCCCATGACTTGATCCCGGTCTGGTGCAGAGTACGGTAGGGCTCATCTGTTGGGTGGACAGATTGTTGGAGCAGAGCTTAGCGAAGTTGTGTATGTAGGTCTTGGTCTTTGTTGTGGATAGCAAAGGTAAAAATAATGCCAAATGCAGTTATGGGTGATTGGGTAGAGCAGATAAATAAGATAGGGGTTCCATACCTAATGGAACCGGAAGGCAGGAGGCAGCCGCTGAAAAGGTCTGGTGGATCAGCAGCACTCTCCAGGCTGCTGAAAGACCAAACTCTTTACCCCTGAATCTTCCCAGTGGGCTCACATTACAGAAAATAGCATCTGAGAGAGGGCAGCCATAACAGGCTTCTGCCAGACAGGACTCTCCCTCTAAGCTTAGTCTCTTGTTTTTTCTTTCTCTGAAAGCCTGGAGGAGTCTACATGTGGGCTTATCTGGATATGGTCTAAGAACCAGCTTATCTGGGCCAGATGCACTTTATTGTTCGTGGTGTTGTGTACGTAGATGATAAGGTAACAGCACAGCTGACTGTGAACATAGTTCTCGTTTATAAGCCCCTGCTCTCACCAGGATCCTGGAGCCTGGTTTTACTATACTTTGAGATTAGCATTGCAGCATCAGACTGGGGTCTGGATCCTGTATGGGAACCTCTTGGATCTCAAGTCCTTGGGTCAGCTCTGGGGTGCATCTTGCACTGAGTTAGACACTTGCTTGTTTTAGGAGGAGTGCTCAGAAACAAGAGGGAGTCATCCTAGCCAGCTCCCTAGGCTTAGGCTGCAGCCTTTCTCAGAGCTTCTTGGGGCTTGGTGAGGTTGCATGAGTCACATGGCTGAGTGTCAGAGTCCTGCCTGCCTGACTGCCTGGGTCTCAGATGGCTCTGATTTCAGTGGAGGACTATGTAAAGGGCCAAAGCAGTTGACCTTGGTTTAGGCCACTTTTGGGGGGTTAGAGGTTGCCTGGAACTCCTGGTTCCCTTTAATCTTTCTGCCAGGCACCTCTGAAGTTCAGGTTACTCTTGGAACAAGGTGTGCTGCGGAATAATGATAGCCACAGCAATATTAGTAACACCCATTATCAGCCGTAACTGTCTTCTTCACAAAGCCCCTTTGATGAATTTACTTTCCTAACTTTACAGCCCTCCCTGAGTGGGTCCAGGGCCATAATCCCAGGCCAAGGTTTTGTATAAGTTTGCAGCAAACTCATTTAGTGGCAAAAGCTGATCTGAACTGATGCGAGGCTATATTTATCCTGCTTATTTTGAATATTCATATGTTTTGCTGTAAAAATATTAATGTGTTTGATTACAGAGTGCTGCTCTGGACTCCTCTGGAGCTGTTAAACACATAGGCGCCAGAGTGCCTCTCTAAAACCAAAACAATTCTGATTTCAGAAGCATCCAATATTTTTGAATAAGGGATTGCAGGCCATTTTTGATCCCAGTTTACAGTCTACATTTTGGGGACCCCAAAATGGCCTTTGGGGAAGGTAAGTGACTTGCCCATGGTCACACAGCTAACTATAAATGGGTAGAGCCAGGGACTCTGCCTGCCTTCTGGTGCACAGTCCCTGGGAGCTCTCCAGCAGGCCATATAAGACCATGACTAGTGCTGTTCTGGGTCAGATCTATCTGACCTAGTCTTTGATTGCCAACACCACCCTTGAGAAGCCACTATTAGTGGCTCCAGCCATCATCCTTGACGTCAATTCTAAAGGTCAGGTGTGTCCAAGCTTCTCTGAGCAGCTATTTATGGCTACTCTGTCATTCACAGATTTGCCCAAATCCTTCTTGAATCCATTTCTGTTTCCAGGTAGTATCCTTTTGGGGATGATGAATGATTTCAGTTTAGAACCTCATGGGCTCCTGGAAATCTAGTCTTTCAGTGACATCTTGAGTTGTGAAGTCAGTAAGATGCCTCTAGGCCTTTGCAGTGGCATGCTCTAGACTTTGTGCGGGCCTGGGCTCCAGACTCAGCTCTGCATTTTTAGCTGTGTTAGTATCATCAGTCCCTTTTCATCTCAAGCTTTATTTCTTCTTCTTTGTAAAAGTAGATATTTAGCAGAGCTCTTTCTGGGTTCCTGAACTCTTAAAAATTTCCTTGTGCACCCACTTACATTTTCAGGAAGTTATTTTGGTCAGTTGCGTTTTGCTGGGTTTTGGAGTCTGGACTGACAGGTCAGCTGGCCAAGATGGGATTTCGGTTGGTTTGATTTGATTCTCTCTGCTGTGACTTCATTTGATAGTACTTTAACCTGCTTTGGGTTACTGAGCCATC